ATAAAAAAAAAGGTTTTATATATATATATATATGTATATAAATTCTAAATTCACATTTCCGTGTTACCTGGAAGGAAGCATGCAAGAACGGCATATGGAGGGGGAGATGCTGAATAAGGTTCCTCCGGTACAGGATAGGTCTGCCTAGGACAAACCTGCCTCCAGAAGCATTCCCCAGAGAACTGAAGCAAGGGGAAGTGCTTTTAGCCCCCATTCCCTCTACACAGCAGTTTTCCTGAAGATCCACAGAGCAGCTTCCTGTATTCCCCATACAGGCCACAGGTCCAACCAAAATCTGAGGAACCACCAGGCTAGAGCTGGAGAAGGAAAGACAAACAAAAACTAAAGCCAAAACCTATTATCATCCAGTCTGGAAGAGAAAAGTGATAATTCACAAGTCAGCAACTGAAACTGGGCACCACTATATGGAGGACCCTTGTTTGCCCATGTCAAAACAAGTGATGTCTGTCCCACCTCTCTGGTCCCTCTGTGAGTCTCTCAGTCCCTTATGATGATCACCCCCGGTTCTTTCCAAGATTCCCTTCCCTGTCCAACTGCCAAAGTGCATCTGGGCCTCACAATCTGTCCAGCATATGCCCAAAGGGGCAACCAGTCATCTTGCAAACAGTTTCTTTGCACCCCATCAGTCTCTTTGCATCCCAAAGAGCACCTAAATGTGTCTGCAGGGAAGAGATCAGATGTTTTCAAAGGCCTGGGTTTCATTAGGGGCTCCTGCACCATCTCACCTTCTGAGGAAAGTAAACGAATTTCAGTCGGGCAAGAAATCGCCTCACTTCTCCACGGCTGATTTTGGGAGTCATGGTGTCCTTTAGCCACACCATTCGACCTTGACTCATCATGGCCCACTTCAGGCCCAGCTTACTGACTGACAGAAATCCTGGCTGTTTTTCAGAGGTTGCAGTTGTTGTCACAGTGATGTGAAATGCATCCTTCTGGAGATCGTTAATTCCAACTGGTGCATCAGAAAAGGGAGAGAAAATATTGGTAAGGAGTAAATTATTAAATTTGTTCCAAAAGAAATTTTACAGTCTTTACTCAGTCAAAACATCCACTGGACTGAGGGTATACTCAGTCTGGGTTTACAACTATATGTACCACAGTTAATAAGGGAAAATGATTTTAAGTTCAAAATTGTCCATGGAAATAAAGTGAAACTTAGGTCAGAAATGGAAGGGTTTGTTTCCAGGTGATGTTTTTGAGTTTGATATAGGAGATGCGCATATTTCAATAATGCAGTTCTTTTTCAGAGAGCTTTCCTTCCCACACCTGTTAGCAGTTATTGTTTTACCTCTATAGAAGGGAAAATTGGTAAGCATGGTTAAGTTAGTTCACTTCAGTCACTGCGGAATGATCTGAACAGACCTCAGAAATCCCAGTTTCTAATAAACCCCTCTAAAAATTATATTCTATTTGTTCTTGACTGAGCTGTGGTTTTGATACAAATCCAATTAGATGTATCACTATGTAGCAGCTTTTCTATGCTTCCCGGTCTACTGGACTCAGTGCTGAATGAACTGATCTTTTATCCCACACTGCCATGCTCAACAGGCTGGCTCTAGCTTTAACTGCTTTAGAAAGAGCAAGGAAATACAACAGGGACTGTACAATCTTGTACAGATGTTAAATCCAGACTTAACTTTTCCCTGAAAACACACGTTCAAATATTTTGGATTCCCCCTTTCAAAAAGAAAGAGGAAGAAGCAGCACAGCTGCTATTTCAGAGAGCAGGAGAAGATGGCCAACATAGGCAGAAGTGTATCTGAGGTGACAGAGAGAAGTTTCACAGTGATTCTTCATGCATTGCCTTAAATCATAAATAGCTCCATGGCAAGCAAGGGAATTTCTCTGGTATAAAACATGCATGAAATCAAACTCAGACCTTTCCTTGCTTAAACACATGCAAGAAACTTGGCGGGTCTTTTATTTGCAAAGTAGAGGTTGGACAGGACCTTCCTTCAGGAGGAAGATGAATCTTACTCCCATTCATTCTGGCCCATGTGTGGAGGACCTCAGGTGCTATCTCTAAAGGCACAATACAACTCACTGTTTCTCACAGCTACCTCAGCCTTCGTATTTCTTTTAGCTTAGGTAGTTTCTCCTCCATTTGTACTTACCTGCTGAAGCAATGACTTTGTCTGTTGCATTGGTGAGGTCCAAAAGGACTGTAGGAAAAACAGGATGGAGGAGATAGAGGTGGTGCAGCACTGGGCGCTCAGGTCTGGGACCAGGTTGCTGTTGGAACGAAGGACAGAGAAAAATGTTACAGTGGGCTGGCAAAGAGGAGATTAGCTTTGCCAAAGAAATAAAGAAGTTTTCTAATGCCACGCTGTCTTTACATGGATCAGAGAATCAAAGGCTCTGTGGTTTTACAGAGATGAAATTCTGCAAAGTTTTTTTTCTAAAACAGAATTTGCTCCACTACTTCTGTTTGGTAAGGCTGAGATCTGGCTCTGTTAAAGCCTGCTTGATGGGCAAAGCTACTGTCTGGAAGTTTGCGTCTCCACGCCAATTCGTGCGCCTGCGTGCAGAGAAGAAGTGGTCTGGGGCTGGGAATAAATCTGCAGTAAAAATATCTCAGTCTTGCAGAAAAAAAATGAAATTAATGCAGAAAGTTTTGGTTTTGTTGACGTAAACTTTCTGTCAATAAAGCTTTCTAGTGAAGAACTTGCACACAAAAACTCCTGTGTTCAGGCTCAGAGAAGTCAGAGGAAGCAAGAGGAAAAGATGTCCCTGACAGCCTTTTTGTATGGCAGATTTAAAGTTCAATTATAACAGAAATAAAAGACAAAGACTGCATGTGCCTCACAGAAAAATCTCAAAGTGAAGAAAGGATGCTTGCTCACCAAACTTTGTAATACAGGCTGTGCTTCATCAGCCCAGAAGAGAAAAACAGACTTCTTGTCCAAAGTCATGACTGACAGTGCATCGAGTTGCTGCTTCTGCCACGGGAGTTCCTGGTTCCAAACAGGGAGTCCGGATTTGCCATCTATCACCACCACCTCAAGGCAGGGGAGAAATCTAGCATTAATGGGTGTCCAGGTGTGGCTGTACAGAGAGCCCTCTTGCAGTGGCATGGCCTGTACTGTTCCCTTTCATGCCTGTGGCCACACAGTGATGAGTGTCAGCCACAGGAAAGGGAAGAGTGAGGAGCAGGGAATGATCGTTCCTTTCAACTCAACCTCCCTCCCTCCTGTGCTGCCTTTGCCCTCCTTGCCTTCATTTGCTTTACCTTTTTATTCCCAGCTCCAGTCTGTGCTTGCAGCATGAAGTCCAGAGTTTGGTCAGCACCAAAGAAACCTGGTACAGGCTGGCTGCAAATTTGGAAAAACAAACACTCAGCCCCATGGCAGAAAAGCAGGGATTTCAGATAGAGGCGGCACAGTTGCTTTCATCCTCCATTCTACCTCTTAAAAAGGCAGGATTTGCCCTACTAAATAAGATCTTTCGTCCACTCAGAACTGTTCTGACTGGCAGGAACCATTCGTTGGTAAATCAGAAAAGTGAAAAATGATCAAGCGGCCCATGGTGCTTGTTAGCCATTCAGAGTCGTCTGAGGAGGGGCGTCCCTTGCTGGGCTGTGTAGACATCTGTTTATCACTCTGTGACATGACTCTCAATTATTCTTTCCTTAGCACAAGAACCTGTACAGTTTTTCTATGGTCATAAAAAATTACCCAGCCCTTTCAAAATGCATCAGCAGATTCTGAAAGTATATTTCCCAGTCTGCCTTAGCTGTGTGAAATGGCTCTTAAAATGCTCACCATTAACATCAGCCCATGATTCTTTGTTTTCTTACTGCTGGTGGTTTTACAAGCCTTTTTATAACCTTTAGCAGTTTAAATGAAGTCCCCTCTCATCCTCTCCCTTCTGGGTGACATAACACTATTAATTTAATATCTCTCATTATAACTGTTTTCTAACCATCTTGCTTGCCTTTGGCTTTTTTAGTCTTATATATCTACCTTAAATTCACCACAGCTAGACATAAGGCTCTAAATAAGTACAAACAATTCCTCAAAATTCAGAATCAGAAATTTTATGGCAAGGCAGGATCATCAGAACATGTCCTCCCCCCTCTTGTTTATGACAGATTGCTGTATTTCACTCGATTAACCAAGTATCAGTAGGCTGAGTTTGACTAGATTTACCAGCCATGAGGCTTGCTACAGAAATACAAAGATGAGATTAATTCATCGCTTCTCATGACAGTTAGTTCTAATGATTAATCTCACCCAAAAAAACACGCCTGCATTTTCATTTTCTTGAACATGAATGCCTTTTGCCCCAAGGCACTTGTTCTTGCTACGGCAAGATTAAAATGCCTGTTAGCTCCCATTACTTACACAAGGTTATGAACTCACCTATCAGGCTTCTCTTTGATCATATAAACCCACTGACTTAAATCTTCCACGCTAAAGCATTTTTTCCAGATCTCTTCTCCAATTTTTTCCATCTTCCTCTTTAAAATATGCATACCAGAATGGTTCCTGAACAGCAATGTCAGAGTACAGCAGCGGCTTTGACTTTTTATAGTCACTGTGTCAAACAATGTAATTCGCTTTACAGACACCTTTGACAGCCAGAACCGACGCTTTCAAGGCAGTATCATGGGACACTCCTATAGCTTGAAAGCTCTCCAGTAGCAACAGGAAGTAGTAGGTAGCTCTATCTTATGGACATAAACTTAAAATCTCTCCTAAGGTGCCTCTTCTCGTGTCCCTTATGGGTTACAGTCAGCAGCAGATCCCACAAACTGAATGCAGGCAGGCATATGTATTTTAGATGCTACCAATCAACTGAAAAATCGCCTGGGCACTTTCTCAAATGAACCAGGCGGCTAGTAATTATTCCTGCCAAACAGTAATCCCCACAGCAACCTGCTATTAATCCTCTCTCATCTGAAACATTCATTTACAACACAATTTTCAACAGCTTACTCAATTTCATGGTCTCTGAACTTCGCCCTTGTTTTATGACTACTGATTCTCCTTTATAGTTTTCCAGGGATCTCGTTAAAAGCTATCTGGAAATGCAGCACATCTGCAGCAGCCAGCTTGTTTTTCTCGGAGACTGCTTCCAAAGGGCTGGACTCAGTCTGCTAGCTGGAGTGGTGCGTTTGGGGCAGGTTAACCCAGGAAAGGAGGAGCTCAGCTGGCTCTGTAAGCTTTCTCTGATGAGGAACTGGGTTTGAGTCTGTTTGACTGTCTGGTCACACTCCTGAGCTGAATTTGTCACCCAGCCTGTGTTGCTAAAGCAGATCTCCTCTAAGTCCTAAAAAAAAAAATATCCTCTTAAATAAACACCTGTCCACAATATATTCAGTATATCATATTTCATTTCTCTCAACTCTGAGGAAACAGGCAGTCCAGGACTTTAGCACAGAGGCCTTGACCAAGAATTGCTTTCATTATTTTCCAATGCCTATCTGGCAGCTCCTGTACACATGTTGTACTCTGTCCCTTGGGAGGTCATGGAACCAGAAAAAACATGGCTGAAGTGCAGCAACCTGGAATACTAGTTGCCCAGAGAGGTTGTGGAGTCTCCATCCTTGGAGATATTTAAAACCTGATGGCACACAGCCCTGAGCAACTTGCTCTAGCTGAGCCTGCTTGAGAAGGTAGGTTGGACTAGGCAATCTCCAGAGGTGCCTTCCAACCTCAATCATACTGTGATTCTGTGAATGGAACAGGTAAAGCAGTCTTCAATCCTTCTTGACTGGAACCCATAGAAGTTTTCCAATTAATTAGTGGGTCCATTTAGAAATTCCTTGCATATAACTGATTTTACAGCATCTGTGAACTGGCTTTGCTTAGTCAGAACACAACTACCCTTTGAACTAGACCCCAGACACATCCAGATGTCTGCAAGCTCTGGGCCCAAAACACTTTCAGTCCATCTCCTTTCCCCACAGCAAGATTAACTAGCTATAAGCCATTCCTAAAGTCTTTGCTTATGTCACCCATCAGCTCTCAAGAAGGCGGACATTATCTGAATATCAAATCTAGTTGAACACCGATTTGTTTTTTTGCTTAATGAAGTTCCAATGCCTTCTTCCCATAGATGCTCTTGACAGACAGGTAACACTGAGATGAGCACTGCTTTCTTTCCTCTAGACAGCAAAGCAAGCAATTTGTTTCCCACATAATTTCCCTCAACTGTGCCCAACTGCCCTCTGCAACTATTTAATACTGGGCAAGCTGAAATTGCTGGTTACTATCAACCCACAAGATCTGGCAATTACTTAATTTCCCTGTGTGAAATTAGAGCATGAGCAGTATTATTTTAAGGTTTACATTTAGTATAGATGGTGTGCTGACTGCCATCAGAGTGCTCATTTTCAGCTTTCAAGGAACATTAAGATCTGTGGGCCATACACAGACACCTTCACTAAATACTTAACATCACTAATGCAACTGCTCCTCTCCACCGAGCTGACAAGTAGCAGCCCTAGACAGCAGATGGGCTGAATCACACACCAGTAATCCTCTGAATTCCAATGCCACAGTAGTCATGACATCAATGTTGGATACCTGAACCAAGGTCCTTATTTGTGATCACTCACAAGCATACAGCTCAGGTTTCCAGCCTTCTGTTCCTCGGTTCCCCACCCCTCTCCTCCTCACTTGCTCAGTGATGCATTTCCACATCTCCATTTCTAAGATTTCTCTGCAGACATGGAGAATTCTTCTTAATTGCTTTCTAAGGAGCACACGTGCTTAAAAGTGAAAGGCAGGAAATGGTACAGAAAGAAATAGAAAAATGTTCCCAGTGTGTATGTAACCTGCTGATGTTCTGCAGTTCCAGGGTCCAGCGGGGCTCCAAGTCCTGTCCTCGCAGTAGGATCAAGCCCTCCTTGGTTGTGATAAGCAGGTTGCTGCAGTTTGTGTCAGGTGTCTTCACCATCTGCAGGAAGTCAACACCCCCACTGGGACAAACGGAAAGCAGAGAGGAGATTCTGAGGCTTGTATCTGCACATCTCAGCACTAGCTGCCTGTCTACATGGCAATTCATCCAACCTAAGATTCGAACTGTTCTTGGAGAAGCCCATCTCTTGCCCAGTGATGAAGCTTACCTTCCTTTGGAGATTCTTCAGCTAAGTGGGCTAAATTCAGGTGTGGGCTTTTCTGAACATTTTGAGTTACTATAAAAAGCATGGAGTGTGGAGGTTCACATGTGTTCCCTCCCCTTATTCCTATCCAGGCTGACCTTGACCACAATTTGGCAGTAGACAAGAAGGAGCTGAGAAATCCAGGCCCATAATGCTGTACATAGACTGAGCTTCCCAAACAAACTCCATTAGCTGGGACCACCTTTTTTTTTCTCCTCTAGGTATACACAGGGGGTGGAAGAAAGGAAGAAGGAGCAGAAGCAGCAAAGGATTCCCTTTTACCAAACTCTACACTTCCTCTGTTAGGACAGCCACAAGACAGGAAGTTAAAAATGAGTTCTCCAGAGTACTGTTATCAATTGGGCAGCGAAAAGAAGTATTGAAGTAGGAGTGACCATTTCTTGGAGCACTAAGAAGTGCCTGCTCTCCCCTTCCCTTCCCAGCAGAAGCAAGATGACAAGTCTATTTCCTACCTGTAAATGTCTATGAGCTCTGACAGGTTGACAGATCTGCGCTTTTCCCACTCCGGCTCCTCCTGCTGCAGCATTGCAGGAAAGCTGTCCCGATTTCTGGCTTGGGTAAAGATATCCCTCAGGGCAACTGCTTGAACATTACCTGCCAGGAAGAGTAAAGATGAAGAGACCTGCCTGCAAAAGTTAACTCCTAGTAGCACAGAGGGTCCTTGGGACCACTGTGGTTGTGGCAGAAGGTAAAGAAATGCCCAGAGCTGGAACTTCCTCAGCATGATGTGCCTTTGGGAAACTCTAAGGTATTACAGGCTAGCAGCTATTGGTGCTCCTGCACTTTTCCACACCATGGCAGTAAGACTCATTCCCACGCCTTCTACTCCTAGCTTTTACAGCAAAAGACATGGCAGAGATATCCCAGGGATGCTCTGGGCCATTTTAGGTAAAATGAATGTTTTCTCAGTAAGGTGTACTGCTGGACAGGCAAGGTGCATCTTACCAAAACCAAACAGGATGTAGATGGCTCCCCGGTTGGTGATATGGACTTGGGGGCCAATCACTTTCCCTTCTCCATTGGTGCTGTACTTCACAGGCCCACCTAAAGCAGTTCCAGTCTTTCCTGACACCAAGACGAAAAACAACTCAGGCTGCAAAGAGAGAGATGTAGGAGATTTTTAGCAGTGCTTTCATGCACTTGCGCTCTCAGAATCTTCCCTGGTTCCCACAGCATGAAGCTCCACTGCTTCTGCCCTCCACAGCAAGATCTAGCTAGTGGTCTCTGTCTCTTTGCTCAGTCTGGCTTCCTGGGAGTCTTACATTCATGCTTTTCTCTTGACTGCAAATGCATCAAAGATGGAAGGGATTTCAAAAATCTGAACTCCTCTAACAACATTAATGCTAGAATTGTGGGGAGAGATGAGCACGGCGGAAATCTGCAAATGAATTAATCACACAAGTATTTATTTCTTTTGGCTAATCTGAATGCTTCTTTCTCCGGAGATCTATCTCAATATGGCTCCCTACACTGCTGCTTAACACTCACTTCAAACCAAGCATTCACTGAACAGAAACGGATAACTCTCAAGCCTCAGCCAGGGGTAAATAATGACCCTTCTGTTCATTCACAGTTGACAAGAAACACAGGTAGTGTCATTATTGCTTGATCTCACTGCTCTGACCTATTGAAAGGAAAAGGGTGCTTTTCAGGGAAATGTTAAGAGAACAAAAATTAGGGGCTCTTGCAGCTCCTGTTACAGCCTTTCCAGATCAGGCTTGTCTGTTCTTCCTCTAGATAATCAAGATCTTTTCAGACCTTGAGCAGGGATATGCTGTACCTCTGTCTCTTTGAGGGCCAGAACAACAATATCTCTAATCCCATCTCCATCTACATCCGGAAGAGTTGCAGCTGGTGCAGCCAGGATTCCACTTGAAAGATGGATGGAGTTCAGCGTCCAGATGGTCTTGCCTGCGGAAAGAACGGCATGAAACAAACCTGCAGCACTTGAGGAACCAGTGAGTATCCCCAGAAGGTTCCAAAAACCTTCCTGGAGGAGGGAGCAAGAGAGCTTGTCTCCACTGTTATCTGAGAAGGAAAGACAAGTCTACAAACTGGGGCAAGCTGCAGTGGGAAGCAAAATTCTTCCCCCAGCATTTCTTCAGATTGTCTTTGAGTCCTGCTGTGCTACCTTCTTAGCATCTCTCCAGAAAGGCCTGAGCCCAAAACACTTCCTGAAGTAGCAGAGAATATTTGAGGTTCACTCTTTGAAGGAGAACTTAAATGAGAGTGCTGCTCTGCAGGACAGCAGTTGTTTTCCTCAGCCAGCAGTGAAATCTGTAGGTAGACTGCAGGAAAGGGAACAGATGGGCAGTTCTGATATTCAAAGTGCAAATCTGGGTCTCAGCTAAATTCTTAGCAGCAAACAGCCAAGCCAGAATGGCATGCTCACTCCATCTCAGGGTGAAA